TATATATAACGTGGAGGAGTGACCGAATTACAACCTGGCCAATGAATCCTCGTTTTTAATCGAAATACAGTTTGAGTTGTCGTCTTTACGCACATAAATGCGACCGTATTTCACCCAGACATACTTATATTTCTTTTCCTTTGCGACGTTTCTAGTTTTAGTATGCAGAGACTTGCATTCAGGCGACAAACAGCGATATATATTCTACGTGTCTCACCAGAAACTCCTAAGTGAGTAGAGCTAAGCGGCTCATTTGCGTTGGTCTGTGGATTAAATCGTGATACCGAGGATAGTATGATGTCTCGCAGGCGGGGTGTGGAGAGGGTTAATAATATATTTCTCGTTCGATGATGAGCTAATCTTAGCGACCCTTCGACAAGCAACAATACTCGACTCAATGAGCGGAACTTTTATTGTGTCGCATAAGTTTTTCGCAATATTTAAAACGTTTTCGTGTGGGGATTCAGGGACACACTGAAGCTCAACATTATGGCTGCGTGAAATCCTTTCTATAACTGAAACTCGGCCGCCCAGAATGCGTATTTCATTTTTTAATTTTAAATTATCAGTCTCCAGCGCTTTAATAACACTACATTTTTCTTCTAGTTGAATTTTCAAAGTATTATGCTCCTTATTTACAAACTCAAAAGAAGTATTAAAGTCACATTTCAACTCTTGTACTACGGTTTTCATTTCAGATTTTTTGTTTACATCATCCCTTAGTGCGGCACGAAAATCATTCATGAAACTCGATAAGGAAGATTGCAACTTGCTATCAAGAAGGTCACTAATTTTCTTCATTGTGACGGATTCTGATTGAATTATAGTGATTGAAGTATATTATATAATGGGTGTGACATAATTAACTGAAAATGTACGTGTAATTTTGTAAATTATGAATAAATGATCTTTGTCTGTAGAAAAACAAAAGAAATAGTCTACTTCTAGATTGTGTATTAATGTGGATAATATACTAGATTTTATGTTAGACCTTCAGGAAAACAACTGTGAAAACTGCATTCAATTTGGAGTAGCTATTCTTTTGTGATACCTAACCAAACATGCAGACTGACAAAACTTCTAAAAATACTGTTTTGATATTTATTGGTCTCTCTCTCTCTCTCTCTCTCTCTCTCTCTCTCTCTCTCTCTCTCTCTCTCTCTCTATACTTTGGTAAAGCATCAGTGAAGGACAATAGATGCGGAGGAAAGCAGGTCAGTAGACACATCGTGATATATATATCGTGATGTACAATGAATAATCATGACAGTTTTCAGGGGGACCGCGTGGAGGTCGAGCTGACAGGCTGAATTGCTAGCAATAGGGCTGCTAATCTCTGTTACTAAAAATCACTTCCCATGTATACTACTACAATTAGGAAAACATATTATTATTATTTTCTTATTTTTTTATACCACTGAGGTGGCAATCAAGCTTACGGCCTACCTGATGGTAAGTGGTTACCGTAGCCTATGAACGCCTGCAATACCAGGGGTAAACCTCCATACCTTCCTTTTGAAGAACCCCACATATTTTATCACTATGACCATTTAAATAATTGGTTGAGTAATCCTACTATTGGGGACGGGTTACTTCATGAAAAGAGCACACTATAGTCTACTGTTACCACAATTGGTGCCTTTTATTTTATGTTACCTTTCTCTTGCGCTGATGTATTATATTTAGATTTCGAAGTCGCCTCTTGCGATTCACTTGATCATCATAGATTCATAGATTTATTTTATGTCTCAACTTTTTATTTCCCTTTTTATTTTGACAATAGACTGTCATTTTACAAAGATACAATAGTTATTACAAATACAAATGTATGGAATCACATTTGTTTAGTAGACATTGCATGTCAAAATGTTTTTCGAATTATTTTATAGATTTTAGAGAAAGTGATTGATGGCAACACAAATAAATAGTGCGTTGTTAAAAAAAAAGTTAATTGGAAAATAACTTTGCTATACTTCAAGAAATATTATCAGACTATCTCGCCATCTTTTCAAGACATCTTAAAATGCTTCACTACATTTATACCCGTTTTTTATTGTAACTATTTGAGAATTATAAAATAAGACATTTTCATATATTATTTAAAATTTAATACTTATAGGTTGTGGATATTTTTAAGAATCCCGAAAATTATATGGCAAAATTGTCCTGTTAAAATATGTATATACAAACTTATTAGTGTAGATCAGGCTGTATGGCTTAGTTTCTTTGCCTTTTCCATTGTGGGTAAATTGATATTAATATTACTACTATTGAAAAATGACTTCCATGTTAGACAACGTAAAGTATAAATTTTTAAACAAATTATATATATTATATACTAGCGGCCCGTCCCGGCTTCGCACGGGTGGACATTTTTACATTTTAAAAAGTGGCCATTAAGGCTGCACACGCGACGCAAACTTAAAAATGGAGTAACTTCTCCCGTTTTCCCAACATTTCCCTTCACTGCTCTGCTCCTATTGATCGTAGCGTGATGAAAGTATACTATAACCTGTCCAGGAGTATGAAGAATAATTGTACCAAGTTTCGTTAAAATCCGTCGAGTAGTTTTTGTTTCTATAACGAAAATACAGACAGACAGACAAAAATTTTACTGATTGCATTTTTGGCATCAATATCGATCACTAATCACCCCCTGTTATTTTGGAAAATGTATTTCATGTCACAGAATTGACCTCTCTACAGATTTATTATAAATATAGATGTATGTGCTATTTGTACACATTTTTGATTCAATTATGTCTTTTTTTAAGGTTTAATTACATTTAATTTATTTTATAGATGCACACTATTATATTATAGGTATATTAGGTTTGCACTTGCGCTACCTGTGAATAAAAAAAAAACAAAACTCAAGGACAAGCGGTCACTTTCCTTTTCAAATGCCTGCCGATATGTGCCTCAAATTATAATATATCTCGTCCCTTATAACGAAAGGGATAAGATTCAATTTCAGTAGTTAATTTCGTGTTTGTTTTCGATGGGTCGGTGAAACCGGCTGTCGAATGTTAAAAAAGTCACATTGACAGGACCTTGTTGATCCTATCCAGGGCCGTCTTTAGTATATTCTGTGCCCTTATTAACAAAAAAAAAAAAATTTATCAACTTTTCTTAATCAAAGACTTAAAGTAAAAAAAAGGAAGAAGCATGTTTAAAAAATGACAACTTCACATGTGAAGAACATGCAAGTAAACTCTATTGACGACAAAAAAAAAAACAAAAAATTGTCATTTTTTTCTGTTGTATGTGTGCTGTTAAGTATGTGTATATTACGTATATATTTGATTGTGTGTGTATGTATGTATATATATTTGTATATGATAATATTTATATAAAAGTGTGCCATCTACCCTTTGTCTTTTTCTCAATGTCCTCTACCCAACATGGGAGTCTGGAAGACACAGATTACTGTTTAGCGATAAGGCCCCTTTTGTTGCCATTTCATTAATATTTACTGTATTTATTATTTCTCTTTTTTCTTGGCGGAATAAAGTGTAAATAAATAAATAAAATAAATAAATAAAATTCTAAATCTGTTTGAACATTGTTTAACAAATTCTATTAACAGTATAAATGCGAAAGTTTATAAGGATGGATGGATGAAGGATGTTTGTATGATTTATGGATAAATATTGTATGGATTCAAATAAAATTCAGTACACGGGAAGAGATCCTAACGTTAGCATATAGAATTGTTTTTGTACTAATTAACGATTAAAGTTAGTAATTATTTATATTTAGAAAATTAAGTTTTTCTTTTTCAAACTATTGTAATGTTTTAAGAATGGTAAATGATATAGATTTCAAAAAACATAACAATTTAGAGTAGAGATAGATTTAGACGTATTAAAACATTTCAATAAATGTGATACTCTATACGTACTAGAATTTAAAAAAGGAGGTATCCGAGGTTGCTTGGAAGAGATCGGTTTTAGAGATAAAATCGCCCATTGTTTTCTCATTGTGATTATTTCTTGTAATTATTTATATTTAGAATAAGTTTACTGTTGTAATTTTTTGGAGGAAACAATAAAGAGTATCTATCTATCTATCTATCCGATCGTATCAAAATATGACGTACTTGGATTAAAATTTTTGATTTTCTTATTGTAAATCCATATTATAACATATATCCGTGTAGGGAGGTTCTAGTATTTGATATTAGTATTTTTATTCATTCAAAAACTCGGATTATGAGTGATTGGGTTACACCCTAGGCGCCCCTAGGGTCCTGCACCGTGGCGTCCCACATCCCTACCATCCTTACAAGTCCCTGGTCCTATGGGCGTACAAAAAGTAGTGACTCTGCTCAGAGAGCTGATTATGGAGATGCTAACAGGTTTGTCAAATTCCAGATTATTTAAAGACCATGTTATTTTTCTTTTGGATCCTTGTGCTGCTAAAGTGATTTTTTTTAATAGTTTAGGGATCCAATAATATATATTTTTAAAACGCAATTTAAGATTTAGACGAATTTTGTATGTTTCATATGAAAATATCGAATACTATGTAATCATGTTAAATTTTAAATGGAATATAGGAAATCGTTCGTATATCTTTTTTTAATTAATCTATTGCCTAATAATAATATATTTTTCTAAGAAAAAGGACTCTACGTATAGCTATTTATTAATGATATTTCTGGCAATCCAACGTGGAAATGCCGCAAGTGTCATGGGGACCTTTGGGTCGGGTACGGATCATGAATGGGACTGATCCTTAATTTAATTTTTTTATTGTGATTCTAAGAAGTATATTAGTTTTATATATATATATTATAGATTATGTAAGTAAATAAGTTCATAATTAATTTTACTACGTATTAATTTTAATCAGGCTGTATGTTATTAATATAAATTTAAATAAACTAAATAAAATAATATCCGTTCTGTAGATTTTGTGTGAAAGAGTAACAAACATCTATAAAACCATCGTTACATATTTAAATAGCATTAAAAAGTTCTTTCTGTTTGTTTCAGATAACGACCGTACCGTTTCCAATGCCGCCCCTCACTAGGGCGTGTCAAAGGAGACGTTAAATAAACGAGGTAAACACCTAAGAACAATAATAGCGCACAGTCGCACGTATTGCTTATATAGATGTTAACGCAAAATCGAGAAAAATGAAAACGTCCGGAAACCATCGAGCCAACCAACCATTCTTGGTTTTTTTTTTATACAACTTAGAATGGCAAAAGCAAACAAGCTGACGGCCCACCTGATGGAAAGTGGTAACCGTCGCCTATAGACATGAGCAGTACCATGGACATAACAGAGTATACTGTTTCACCCATGATACCCCCTATGCGTTGCCATTCCTGAAGACTTAGGTGTTATTCCTCTGTACTCTGTAAATTCACGCCATATCCCACCCTTCAAACCGAAACACAGCCATGCAAACACAACTGCTTCACGGTAAAATCACGAATGGGACAGAGGTATCCAAGCAATCGACTTTTGTACAAAGTCTCCCTCTGGTAAATATAAATGGTCCAATAACGAATATGTTAAAAGTCTTTTATCCAAAAAATTATATTGGTTGACAGACTTTCAATATATTCGAAAATAGATATCTGACCGATATGGGCGATATCGAAATGGGCGAAAACCTTTTTTCCGCCATCAATATCTACAGGTACCCAATATATAGATATCGGATCGGTATCCATATTACCCATGCCTAATTTTTGGTGAAGCAAGTTCGGCTAACTCAGTTGACGTCATCCTCAATCATCGCTCACTGTTATCCCGCCAGCGTTTTTAGTCTAATAATAATAATAATAAAGATTTATTGCACATAAAAATATACAGTCATGGGCTTACAGAAATTTCAAAGTGAATTATATATGTATAAAATGTAGCATTATGCCCAGCACATTAGTGTCTAAACTAGGCCTAGCCTGTATCTTAGACACCAATGCCTTCAATTAGATACATACTTGTGTGCACTTTCGCTATATTAAAATAGTACAAGATTCAGGTATCATTAGATAGATATCATTCCATTACCACCCATAAAAAAAAAAAAAACTAAGATTGTGTTTCACAAAAAAAATCGACTTCAATTGTGGCATAACAAGCTAAAAAAGTATTTCGTATTTAAAATTGTCGAGCTAAAATACTACGATTTTGATAAAACTTCTATAAGTATATATGTAAATATATCCTTTTAGATAAAAAAGAAAAACCCAAATTGGTTTACAATTGACGGAGTGATGAGGTAACAAACATAAAAAAATATGGTCTCCCACGAACACTCAGGTAATGGAATGAGCTCCTGCTAAGGTTAACCCGAAAGACATGGGGTTGTTCAAAAGGAGGATAAAGAGGTTCCTTCAGGGTCGAGAATATGCGCATAATACCTAATACTATTATAAGTGTTCATAGGCTATGGTAACCACTTACCATCAGGTGGGCCGTATGCTTGATTGCCACCTTAGTGGTATAAAAAAAAACATAAAAAAATACAACCGAGTTGAAAATCTCTTTTTGAAGTCGATTGAAAACCCGTAACAGTGCATCATTAAAGTTTTCGAAAATAACAAAATAATGATATAATACGCCTATAGGTACTCTACGATTTGTTACCGTGCCAGTCTCTTATTTATAGAACGACATCAACTTGCGGTTAAAAGTAAAATTAAATAAGTATTACAAAATTTGCAAAATACCACCCCTATTATCTAGGTAGTAGAGTACAAATCGGAATTACAAATAAGCTTATTAATAATCGAGTAGAACAAAACAAATGACAAAGCAGAGACAATATAGAAAGAACGGCCGTGTCGCTTGTCTATGCATTTAAGATTTATGGCGGGGGACCAGCTGTAATTTTGCTATCTTATTATTATTTTTTATCGTTGTTCTCGCTATTTTTATATGGGTCTTATATTGCGATATTGCGGTGTATGAGTATAATGAGCCGATTGACTGGATAAACGCACGGTACATAGTTTCAATAAAAAGATACAACTGTTTGCGAGCGCATGATCAATTCACCGAAGTGGACATGAGAAATAATGTGGATTATGTGTATAATATGTTATGTGTATATGCATACGCACATATTTATGTGTGTGTGTGTGTGTGTGTGTGTGTGTGTGTGTGTGTGTGCGCGCGCGTGTGTGTGTGTGTGTGTGTGTGTGTGTGTGTGTTGTGTTTTAATATCAATAAGAAACAACGAAGATTCTTATTTATTTACTTTTGCATACATTAAAATATGTCTACAGGGCAAACTTAATGCTAAAGTACTACAAATAGCATTCTACCGTTACGCTAAACAGAGAGAGAGTAAATGGCATTGATTAAAAAAAAAGCAATTAGTAAATCACTACATAGTATAAAACGAAGTCGCTGTCGCTCTCTGTCCGTCCCTATGTATGCTTAAATCTGTAAAACTACACAACGGATTTTGAAGCGGTTTTTTTTAATAGTGATAATAAGTGATACAAGAGGAAGGTTTATATGTATAATACATGCATAATATTGTAGAGAAATATTGATAATTTTAGAGGTTTCTAACGTGATGTGATGTGCACCCGTGCGAAGCTGGGGCGGGTTGCTAGTTTAATAAATTATTTAAGAGACAACAATACATTTTAAGATAAATGAACAAACAAATATATAGAATAATATACAATACAATACATATATAAATAACTATATGCAATACACATTAATATAATAAACGAAGAATTAGTCTTGACTTAACTCTTCTTAATTTTTCAATTGTTTTTAAAAATTGTCAAATAATTGCTACGTTATTAGTATTATCTTTAACATTATAAATAAATCAAAATAACTACAGTGATATGAACATTTCTGTATTTACCATTGTGCAAGCAATAAATGTAAAATAATTAAATATCTTTCATTGGTATCGCAAAGTTACAATTTAGTCATGTCAAGCCGTAATATTATTGTGGTCTGGCCTCAAGCTGTAATTGCTCGTTGCGAAGACCTATAAGCCCACAGAAATACTTATGAGGAATGTCCAAGTAGTCGCCTGGCATCATTTTGCTAACCGACTTTACGTGCATCTTCATTTTTTAGGATTCCGCGTGTAAAAGATAAAAACGAACTATTACGTATACCGTTTCCTTTTCCATGGGTGTCGTAAGAGGCGATTAAGAGAACTTAATGGTCGAGAAATGGTCAGCAGCGGAGGGATCTTGAAACCTTGAAATCTAACTGCGGTTGCCAATCCGCCTGTCAGGCATGGTAACTATTGACAAAACCTCGTTTATGGCAGAGGCCTATGTCCAACACTGGACAGATAACGGCTGATAAGATGAGGACGAAATGTTAAATGGATAGCTTATGGATGTTTCTGCTTAGTTCTATGCGTATTTGTGTTTAGTTCTATGCATTTAATATTTTTAAAAGTGGGACAAAATACAAGTAGTTCGAATAATATTATGCAGTATAGTCGAAATAGACAAATGTTCATAATTTAAACAGTTTTTGAGAATTTTTTTTTGATAGGTGAAAATGGTATGGTAACCCCGCCTGCGCTAACGGGATACGCTGGTGGAGCACCAGTGAAGGGTGATCGATGAGAATGAAAACAGGCCAGTTAACCCGTCATGATGAATTCATCAGGAATTAACCATGACAGTTTCCAGGGAGAACCGCGAGGAGGTCGACCTGGTTGGGTATATTGCTAGCAATAGGATTCTCAGTCTCCATTACTAACAATCCCTTTCCTCCCTTTTGAGAATATTAAAAATAAAACTTTCAGAAAAGAACATTTTAAATGCAATCGAAACCTGTTGACAGATTCCTTGACATATGGAACCTTCGATGTCTGAGTCCAACTCGGACTTGACTGGTTTTTTGCTGCTAACGCGCACACGTGCGTTCTGAATCGCGTGCAAAAACGCATAATCATAGGCAATTTGTATATTTCCCTAACACACGAGCCGATTTACTTATTTTTAATTTGCGCATGTAAATATTGTGTGAATGTAAAAAATTATGTTTTATTATTTTTTACCTTTAGTTCAGGATCGCCTGATGTTTATTTTAAGACTTTAAATAAACGTTTAAGGATGTTTAACTGACGGTTTTCTTCTAAATCGATTAGTCTGATTATGAAAATGAAACACATATATAAATCACTTCAGTTAACCCTGTACCAGTAATAAAGAAGTTGTGACGTAAAATAACGTCTTGGTATGATCATGTCATGCACAGAAATGAAAGCAGTGTTTTAAAGAAAGTGTTAAGTATGAAAGTGGATGAATGTACAGGCAGAAGGCGACCGATGAGAAGACGGATAGACTGTATGAAAGATGATGTGCATAAAAGAGGAATGAGTCGGGACAAGCTGACAAGAATTTGTGGAAGAAGAAGACATATTTCGTCGACCTCAAAATAAATAGGGAAAGGCAAGGCAACGACGATGATTAAAATAAACCCCAGTTTAAAGAACCCAATAAATAATGCCATATTTAGATTTATTTTGACTTATTATAACTCCTTCATTTAGACTTTTGGAGTTTTTAAACTAAATACAATTCGTAATACCCACGTTTTCTTTCACCCAATTATATAAGTACATTACAAATAATACCGCGTCCACCCTTAAATGTACGATAATTTGATATAACAACGTGTCTCCTCACACACTGCAATAATCGCAGAGTTACCGCTGTAATTCGCATGAATTACCACTGTAATTCCGGTAATAACATAGTATAATTCGAAGTTTACTTTTGTGAGATGTTTTCGAGTGAGTTCGATTTGTTGAGATAATTTTAGCCTCTAGGAGTCACGACATTAGGAATGCACGATATGGATTATTACATAGGAGAAAGCCACACTGTTATAACAATTAAGGTATAAATTACAAGATGTTTGGTCATGCTATTTAAACATGTATCTCGTAGACAATTGGGTCGATTCTGAGATGCAATTTCTCTAAATTCATCTCTAAGATTAAAATTTTAATTTAATATTTAATTTTCTAATAGATTTAAGTGAATGTAATCATGTACGAACAGAATACTCTGTTATGTACAAAGTACTGCTTCTGTCTATAGGCGAC